CATATTTTATTTTAATAAACATTTCCCACTAAAAAAATTCTATAATAAATGTACTACAACCAATAAGAAGTGGGTGACGGACGAGGTTAAACTATCCAGTGTAAAATTGAAAGAGTTGTATACTCATAAATTTGATAACCCCAAAAATTTTGAAAAATATAAGACTTCTAGAAAAGCTCACACGCAGTTAATTGAGAAAACTAAAAAAGAATATTACCAAAATAAAATTATAAACTCTGATAATGTAGGCAAGGCTGCTTGGGGTATTATATCTGAGCTTTCAAATAAAAATAAAGTACATCATAACAAAAATATTATGTTGGATGGTAAACTCTGTGAAGATCCTTTTACCATATCTTCGTGTTTTAATAATTATTTCAAAAATGCTCCTATCCATATAACAAATAATATACGTACAAGTAAACCCTTCAACTTTGATTTTCATATTAAAAGCTGTTCACTTTTTTTGGAACCTTTTGTAAAGGAGGAAATATTTTCTCTACTAAAATATAAACTTAAACGAAAACATTCCTCTGGATCTGACGACATTCCCATGTTCCTGGTTAAAGAGGTTATGGATTGTATTCTTGAACCAATCACTTACCTCGTTAATTTATCCTTTCTAACAGGTTCTTTTCCAAAAATGTTAAAAGTGGGGAAAGTCATTCCTATTTATAAGAAAAACGATCCACAATCTATGGAAAATTATAGACCTATTACAGTCCCGCCGGCCTTTTCTAGAGTGTTTGAATATTGTTATTTGGAACGGTTATTGAAATTTGTTGCAAAACATAAAATTTTTTCTGACCATCAACATGGTTTTCAGTCTGGGAAGTCGACTAGTACTGCCTTGCTTGACTTCTACCAGAGTGTGTTACAATATATTGAAGTGGGCGAGTCCCCCATTGGTATATTTTGTGACGTTAGTAAAGCTTTCGATTGTGTCAATCATGAGAAGTTGCTTTTAAAACTTTATAACTATGGCATACGAGGAGTTGCTAATGATTGGGTGGCATCTTTTTTAAAAGAACGTGAACAATATGTTTGTCTCGCTTACTCGGGTAACAGCGTTTTGTCGCAGGTTAGTTCTGAGCGGGTAGATATTAATATGGGGGTTCCTCAGGGGTCTATATTGGGCCCTGTCCTTTTCTTACTATATACAAATGAGTTTGACAAAGTTGTTTCTGATGCCTCGTCCGTCATGTATGCAGATGATGCATCATTATTGGTTTCTGGTAACTCAGACGAGGCCTTGCGGCTCAAAACCAATGCTTTACTGAAAGATGTGGGTGCGTGGTACGCTTCTAATGATCTTTTTCTGAACACAAATAAGACTCAAGTAATTAGGTTTCATAACCGACAAAAAAATTGCTGCAATATTAATGTAACTTTTAATGGCTCAGATTTATTGAAATGGGAGATGGATATAAAATTTTTGGGAATAACGATCGATGAATGCTTGACATGGAGGTCTCATTGCACTCAGCTGATATCAAAACTAAATTCCGTCAGCTATCTGATAAGAAGTTTAAAACCTGTGTTAACCTTGTCACAGTTAATAACAGTATACAACGCCCAAGTCAGTTCAAGATTGCGGTACGGAGTTGTCCTCTGGGGAAATTCCACCTTATCACCGGATGTATTTGTTGTCCAGAAACGAATTTTAAGGAATATGGCGGGAATTCCCAGTCATATGTCATGCAGAAATGTTTTTAGAAAGTTTAATATTTTAACTGTTGTGTCGTTGTTTATTTTTGAACTTGCTGTATATGTTTTCAAAAATGTTTCTAACTTTATACTGAACGAAAATATACATAACAGAGACACTCGACAAAATAAAAATTTCCACCTTCCTTTTTTTAAATATAATGTGTCTTTAAATTCACCTTTTTATCTGGGCCTAAAAGTTTATAATAAATTGTGTTTGGATATAAAAAGAGCACAAAGTCTCACAATCTTTAAAAATAGGCTGTACCGATATCTGGTAAACAGTACATTTTATACATTGAATGAATTTTTTTCTAATTAATGTATGTTGAAATTGCAACTATTGTTTAGTATGTAGTAAGTAGGTTAAGGTATCTTGCTGTATGACTATTCCTATACAATGTCTTTTGTCTTTGAGGAAAATAAAGCTTATTATTATTATTATTA